AAACGTGGTGCGGCTAAAGCGCGAAACATATGTATGACGAAACCTTCCGATCCGACGTGCGGACTGCCGAAGGACCTTGGGGTACGAGGGTTTTCGTAGCATCGGAGAGCGTTGAAAACCCTCGCCTTCGACCGTCGTATTGCCTGCTCGGACGTCCGATCGGACGGTTTCGTCGTGCATCTGTTTCGCGCTTAATTCCGGAAGTGCATGACTTCGAGCTTTGACACGGCGTGGCGCCACCTTCATGTAGGGCTTGGTGCGCATTCATGTAAACGTTGCCGCGTCGGCTTCGTTCGAAGGACGAGTCGAGTCGATGCGCTGAAGTCGCTTTCATGTAAACGAGGGCGAGGGTAACACGGGCCGGGGAGGAGGGAGCAGACGGAACGCTGGAGAAGAGAGGGGAAAACCTCCTCCTCTCTTTAGCGTTCCATCTGCTTCCTCCTCCCCGGCCCCTCTTACCCTCGCCCTTCGTTCTTAGGTTGCAACGTGGGAGGACTTAGTGGGTGAGTCAGAGGGGGGGGGGGGGGGCTTCTTTGTTCTTTTAGGGTTAGCCGTCCGCTGATAAACAGAAAAAATAAACGAGCTTTTTTATTTATTTATTTTTTATTTGGAAGTAGCACTGTATCGCGTAAGCAGATGGGTGGTTCCCGTTTCGATTCCCATTCCCAATTCAACCTTCCCGTTTCGACTCGGCGCAAAACGACTTTCTCGTTTCATCCTTTCCCATTTCGACGATTTCGTCATATCCCGAAACTAGGGAGCCTTCATGCGCACATGGAGGCGCCCTACCCGAAACAACCTTCCCGCTTCGGCCATCATTCGTTATCAATTGGGTCGGTTCGCTTGTATTGTTCGTTAACAGTGGGTTAGGTTTAAGTGTCCAATGTCTGTCTTCCTTGCTCGCACCTCACTTCTCCTCTCCCGAAACAACCTTGGAGACACGGCACCGTAAGATAAAAGCTGTGTCAGGGAGAGCTCACTCGAACATTAATAGCTTTATCGATCTGATCAAACGCGATGAGGCCTTCACAAGACATAATTAAAAATAAAACAACGCAAATACGAGAACAAAGTATTCAAAGATCAGGATACAGCACTGCGTCCTGTCGGTTATCTTTTACTTTGCCCATCGTGTTTGCGCTATTTTGTTTTTAATTATGTCTGCATATCAATTGTAGCCCAAGCTTGCACGTTAATCAACCTTGACAAGGGTACCTTCGCAGCAGCTTGCAAATAGTGGTGCCGTGCGGGCCAGGGGACAGCCGCGAACTATCAAAATCGGAGTGTCGCCTTTCTGATGGTGCGATTGTCCTGCTCGACGTCCTCAACAAAGGCGATAGCATTTTGTAGTTTATGAATTTTTCCTGCGATCGCGAGGGTTTTGTGTTTGAACTCGTAAGAAAATGAAGTCGGAATCATATGCCTTGTCAACTTGTCTGATTTCCCACTCTTCAAAATATCCCGTTCACTATAAGGAAGTTTTAGAATAACGTGCGTAAGCGTTTTGGGTAACCTAAAAATAGCGTCGCGATTATAAAACCTAAGGCAACGCTAATTTTTGTTTACTCAAAGTGCTTGAGAGCGACACTGTTAGCGCAAACAAGCGATTGTAGTTTTTTGCAGTGTGTCTCGAAGAATCAAATGACTGCCATCAATATTATAAGTGTCTTTGAAAGTGCTCATCTGGGCCGCTAACCTAAGCGGTATACAATTTGGCACCTTCTAACACCATTTCGCAGTAACATTTAAAAAATCGTCACCATCGTGTTCGCGGTAACCTTGTCGCGTTTCGTAGTCCCACATTTTGGGGACCATCTTGACAGAAACACTTCAAGTGGTTCAAGTAGAAATATCTTTCGTTGGAGCTTGTCTGAAAGTTATGTATATTTTAAGAATACGTTGACAATAAAAATTAGTTCACAACATAACTAAATAGCTCGCCGGCACCTTTGCTTTAATTGCATTAACAAAATTTCGGCACCTATTTTTAAGGAGAAAATGTGAGCAAACCAGGGTTAGAACGATGGAGACTTTACGCGGAGAGGGTGAGATGTGCGGGGCTTTATACCAATGGGTTTAAACGGGACGGGCGCTAACGTAAAGGTGTTTCGGGAACGGGGTGAAAAGGGACAGGTTCAAATGGTAAGGGCGATTCAGGAATTCTCCAGTATGAGCCTCAGCCGGTACACGAAAGCAGTCTTCCGGAGCTGGTCGGAGCGCTTGTCACGGTGACCCCTCTGTGTGTGCCGCCGAGTGGATTTTCTGCTAGTCGCCCCATTTTTGTGCAACTTCTGTTCTTGCGAAAGTGGGTGTGTGGTGCAAGGTGCTATTCCTCCGATCCTATATGAACAGCAGGCATCGGACGGCGTCCCATCCCATTCACCTTTTTATACGCCCCTATCTATGACATCACGTAGTCAGTAAACATGTGAGTAGTGTTCCAAAACGAGTATTTTTTTTTCTGAAAAGAACCGCCGTGTTTAAATAAATTAGTAAGCTAAAAAAAACTTCCAAATGGGGGCGCAGCGGCGCAACCCTTTTGATGGCTCCCTGGGCGACCTTCCGGGACGCCTACCCCCGGTCCTGGTCTAAAGTCCAGGATATCGAAAAAATACGATGTTCTTTTTTTCTTCGGGGCTAATTTGAAGGAGGAACTATTTTCTGCGGTTGCGGTCGTCACGAACGTTTACAATTAGGGTCGATACGTCCTTATCAGTGTTCCAATTTCTTTTTTTTAGTAACTGTCGCTAAGCCCAGTTTGCACGCTTAATCACGATCAGAATGTGTCGTTAGACTACTGTTGTCCTTATTGATTTGTGTTCCCTACACCGCGGCTTCGACTTATCATGAATAGATCTATCCTTTTTGTCACCCATAAGAGCGTTGAATCTTTTACTATTAATTACACTAAACTCGGTCCTAAAATTTCTCCACCAGATAACCCTAGTTATATTGTCCTTGTAATTTTTTATCAATTTATTCGTGTGCGGACCGCTTCGTGACACACCTTTAATATGCCTGCTTTAAGTGCGCTTGAAACTGGGTTTTAAGGGCTTTCAGAACAAACTCATGAAATAATCGAGAAATCGGCTCGCAACCTCCACTCTGCGCGTGCCCAACAGCGTGCACTGGTTCGCCGAGTTTCTAAAAGAGTTAAATCGGAGAGCCTTTTGGCAGCATTCCCAAGAAGGGGTATACTGTAATTTAATGCATTATACCCCATTTTCTTGGGAGTACCTATAAATACTTCCAATGAGTGTATCCCTTCAAATGGAGAAAACAATTTTCGACACGCGGTTACTTCTTTGTTCAAACCAGCGTTTTATTCAACCAAAGTTTATTGCTGAGCCCTCATGGTCGTGCAAAAAATTACTAAATAATTTGCGAAAAAAAGAGAAAATAAAAAGAGCACAGTCAATAAAACCAGTTTTCAAAATAATAAGCATAAGCAACAAATCTTACAAACTAATAACGCCCAAAGAAATGACTTTCTTAACATTGCTGCTATTGAAAGACCTTAGTTATTTTATAAGTTCATATATTTATCGTCATGAGTAGGCCGACTTGTAAGGTACAGTGCTAATCACACTTGTCTATAACGCGCGGGCGTGCAGCTTTCTCCGGAGAGCGCTAGACTGGTGGCATTCGCGGAAACTAAGCTAGTCACGTGGCGCAACATGGAACGGCCCGCTCGAGGGGTGTTTTGCCCACTCTATCAGCTGGCGGCGAACGCGGAAGGCTGCTCGCACGCTTTTTACAAACATCATTGCTCGAACAATAAACAGACTAAAGCATGATGGTGTATCAACGATGTCGTCTTCAAAAAACAAAAATATATCATAAAGCACTTTATTTTTACCGCTTATCAAGCTGATAGAGTGGGCAGGACACCCCTCGAGCGGGCCGTTCCATGTTGCGCCACGTGACTAGCTTAGTTTCCGCGAATGCCACCAGCCCAGCGCTCCCCGGAGAAAGCCGCTCGCTCGCGCGTTATAGACAAGTGTGATTAGCACTGTACATAAGTGACCTTACATTCAACACAGAAACTTCAGGTGCATCACGTGATTAATGACTCTAAATGAATAAAAAAAGATAAGGCTTCATATATTTTCTTTTTTTCGTGTACAAAAAAGTGAAAGCCGTTTACAACTCCCTGTAATGCCGAATTGGAGGGCAGCTTTTGAGGAGGAGGAGGGAAGGGTACTGAGGGCCACGTGTTCTCGAAAGGGGGGGGGGTCACGTGACCCCCCCCCCCCCCCCGAGGTCACGTGACCAAAATTTCACCGCTAGATGTAGCGTTGAAAATTTTCCGCTAGATTCAGCGGGGAAATGTTTTCCGCTAGATTTAGCGGGGAAATTTTCCCGCTGGATTTAGCGGGGAAATTTTTTCGCTAAACAGCGGGGAAATTTGTTCCGCTAGATTTAGCGGGTAAATTTTTTCCGCTAGATTTAGCGGGGAAATTTTTTCCGCTAGATTTAGCGGGGAAATTTTTCCGCTACTTTTAGCGGGGAAATTGTTTCCGCTAGATTTAGCGGGGCAAATTTTCCGCTAGATCTAGCGGGAAATTTTTCCGCTGAATTTAGCGGGGAAATTGTTCCGCTAGATTTAGCAGGGAAATTTTTCCGCTAGATTTAGCGGGGAAAATTTTCCGTTAAATTTAGCGGTGAAATTTTTCCGCTAGATTTAGCGGGGAAATTTTCCCGCCAGATTTAGCGGGGAAATTTACCCATAATGCACCGCGCGGTTACGCCGACGGCGACGCCGACGCCGCTCAAGCCGGAAACGGGCACCTAAGAGCTGCGCTCTAAAAAGACCTCTGGTCGCTTCGTCTAAGGGAAATTCACATTTTTTATCTGTGTTTGCAAAATAAATAACAGGCTGAAACATTTTGAACTATGCAAAACACACACTGCTCGCAAGTAGAACCGCTGCAGGTCTATCGCCAAGCCAAATGAACAGACGTCGGTGCTAGAGTATTCCGTTTAAATTCCTTCCACAACTACAATGCACGCTGCTGTTTCGATAACTTGCGATGTATCTTCCGATGAGCGTGTAAATTGTTATGAGCCGCGAACGCTCTACTGCAGGTCTCGCACTTGAACGGCTCCTCTCCGGTGTGAGTCCTCTTATGATTCGCCAAGCGAGTTTTCTGAGTGAACGCCCTGCTGCACGTGTTGCACCTGTACGGCTTCTCTCCGGTGTGAATCTTCTCATGAACCACCAAGTTGCGTTTCTGATTAAACGCCCTGCTACACGTGTTGCACTTGAACGGCTTCTCTCCCGTGTGAGTCCTCTCATGATTCGCCAAATCGGTTTTCTGAGTGAACGCTCTGCAGCACGTGTTGCACTTGAACGGCTTCTCTCCGGTGTGAATCTTCTCATGAACCGCCAAGTTGGGTCTCTGAGCAAAGGCCCTGCTGCACGTGTTGCACTTGAACGGCTTCTCTCCGGTGTGAGTTCTAACGTGAGCCATCAAGTTAGCCTTACGCGCGAACGTTTTCTCGCAAACATCGCAACTGAAGGGCCTCTCTCCAGTGTGAGTCCTCTCGTGGATGGCGATACCCGCTGCAGAAGGACATGAGTAAGGACAGAAGCGGCACCGGTGCTTGTCCCGGTTTCGGTGCGTCTGCTGCTTTTGTGGGTTGGTGGGGGGAGAGGTGTCACCCCTGCGGCTGTCCTGGTCGAAGGTATCCACTTTGTCGCCTGAGTATGCTTCGATCAGGTCTGTTGGGATAACAGGACAAAGCAAGAAATGTCGGCGCTGTTTTTGTTGTTCTGAACATGGGAATTTTGAGTACCTAGATGAACATGGTCCAGAATACCTACATCATGCCGGTGCAGCCTAGAGCAGGTATTCATTCATTTGAGATGTTAAAAAGGTTCAATCGTAATGCTTGTAAAGGTCTATAGGCAATCTTTTAAGATTCCACTCTGGCAGCCCCATGCTGCGGCAGCTGTGGTGGCTTGTGCGTTCTCCTAACCAAGTGCGGAAGGAAAGTCAAGCCGCCGCGGCTGCTGCTGCACCGTGTTGGCGGTAACGTGTTACAAGTAACGTGGTTACCGGTAGCGCCTTTTTTCTTTCAGTAACGTAGTGACGTATTCATTAGTTTTCTACATCTACAAATTTTCTAAATTTTTCCAATCCTTTCCCCACGAAAAAATTTCCGCTTTAGAAAAACCCCAACCAGCGCCTGTCATGTTAAAGTCGAAACACGCTGTCGCCAAAAGAAAACAAAAGTGCTGTTACCGTCAATTTATAAATAAAAAGTAACGCAAAAGTAACGTGCGTTACGTTCTGTCGGCGACAGTATCGCGTTCCTTTATTTCGCAAGTAACGTAGTTCTTTACTTGTTTACGGTAACGGCTACAACACTGCGGCTGCTTACCGCTGCCAGTACGAAGCGCCGGGTGATAGCGTGTTGACATTCATAATGATCGCGACTGTGTTTAAAGTGACGCTGGAAGGGTCATTCACACACCCACAGATTATTAGGTTACACAAAATAGCATTCAATAAGCTCGTGCAACAGGGATGGGCAAAATACATGCAAATATGTATCGAAATACAAATACAAAATACTTCGTTAAAAATTTATTTAATTACAATTCTAATTACATTTCCAAAAAAGCATTTAAGAACAAGATACAAATACAGTCAAATGTATTTGGTCTCCTCCAAATACTTTTTCAAATACATTCCTCGAAATTTGCGTCAGCGACTTCAGGGCACCTGCAACGGGTTTCTGGTTATCTCATTTTAATTTTGCATCGCACACTCGGGAGTTAGTGTGCGAGTCTGTAGTAACGTAATAGAAATATAATCACAAAAAATGTAATAAGCTTGGACGTACTAGGTTAAAAATGTACAGAGCTTCAAGCAGAATTTTTTGTCGATTACATTTTGGTATAGACCAACAAAGAGCAGAGACGACCAAGATGCCCAGCACTAGCTAGAGAATTTTTTATTGCTGCAACTCGCACCAGTTACGAAAATCTGGACGACCCGCGCATTTAGAATGTTCCAGGCAAAAATATGGATGGAAATCAGGCTGGAAAGCATCACACGTTGTCACGGGCACTTATTTAGCCAGTCTGCCTGTGAACGTCGATTTCGTCACTATTCTTGCCCTGGACTAGCACCGTAATCACAAAGTCACTAAACGCTTGTGCTTGATTGAGTGACACTGCATTTGGCGCAGAACGTAGTTTTCTTCCTGCTCTGGACACTGACAATACATTTGAGGGATGTATTTTCGCCCACAAAATTGTATTTAATTACAATTGTATTTGAAATACCCACGTTTTAATATTTAAATACACACTTCAAATACACTACCCAATTTGTAATTAAATACAAATGCAAAATACACAAAGTATTCAAAATACGTGTTTCAAATACTTGTATTTGAAATACTGCCCATCCCTGTCATGGAATAATCGTTGTGCACCTTAGAAACTTGAAAAATCGCTAAGGTACACAGTAATTATTTTACGAGTGATTTGAAACAGCAAAAAACGCGGTTCTATATCGACAGTGATGTGGACATTTGCCAGCCTAGAGCTAAACTTCTAAAGCAGGGGTGGCCAGGCTGACCCGGCCTAAGAGCCGCAAACGAAAACCCCCAAACTTCCAAGAGCCGCAGGGGGGGAGGGGGGGAGGGGGGGAGGGGGGAGGGGGGGGGGGGGGGAGGCAGGCAAACTTTTGTCCAGTGCAGTAAACGAAACTCGAGCTACTTTCAATCCTTTCAATCTATACGAGTCAAAAGCAGTCCGACTGTACGTAAGGTAGCAGTAGCACAAGGCTACCAAACTGCAACCTGTCTTTCGATTTAAAACGCGGTCCATTTCACTTTTTATGGGGGGGGGGGGGGGGGGGGGGGTGGAGCCGCGAGCCGCACTTTAACACGCGAAGAGCCGCAGCTTGGCCACCCCTGTTCTAAAGCTTCAGTCATTTGGAACAGCCAAACATATTTTGGGCTATTTCATGCGTCGAAAATTATTTATAGCATTTCTGAAAGCTACTCGATCAACCGGAACTGAAGGAAAAAATACAATTTTGTAATATAAATAAACAACTCGGCATGGTACATTTCTCTGATATCAAATACTATGTATGCGGTATATTTTTTCGGTTTGGTGCATGCCGCTAATTAAAACTTAATGAAGTTTCCACGTGGAGAAAACTTTGTGTACCACATCAGACTCCTTACGTTTTCCACCTTCTAAAAAACCGAGCCTACAAAAAGGTTTTCTATCCGTGTGGGACCGTTCATGAATCTGTGAGGGTGTGCTAAGAGGGTACGAGGCTGTATGACTGTTTTCCCGTGTGCTTCTTCTCATACTTGGTGTTGTTAGTTCCGTGGGCACCATAAGATTGGCGGCAGAAGTCGCACCGCCGTCCGTCCTCCCCTCCTGGTCCATCTTCAATGGTTGCCTCTGCAATTCGGCTCCTTGGAAGGAGAGCTCCGCCCCCTTGTCCTCGTAGTCCGTTCTCTGCCATTCGGAGTCGGATGCTGCGTGGGCAAGTTCTGTTAGGAGTGAAGATCAAATATTGTTTTGTTCATTTTTTTATACTATACCAATACAGAAGCTCAATCACAACGAAACTTAAGGAACAAGCAAACATAAACACATCATGCTGATGAAGTAGAGAAATTCAGGGGTTTACATTGATATGGCGGTGTAATTCAAAAAGTAAAATAATAATATCACGATCAAACACCCGCACCATAACTTGATACTGAATACACCGAAAACGTCGACTGTAAAAATGCACGTGAATCAAACATAAAAGTGATCCTTCTCTATTAATACGTGCTTCAAAGGTTTTACTTCACCTTTAAACATACGGTAAAAGATTACTTCGATACAGATCTACATAAATCATGAAAGACACAGCTGGGTACGATCAAAGAGCGCGGTTTAGTTACAACGCTCCTGCTCTGTAGTGCTGAAAAAAGGCAGGCATGCCACAAAACCAACAACTGCACGGTATATCGCCGCCACAGGTTTTGAGAATTACACGTGAAATATATGGGCATGGTGTGTCGGCGAACAAAGGTAGGGACGGGAATGGAAATGTTGCATGTAGTTGGCTGAGCTGTGGCCATTCCCTATTTGATCCGACTAGTAGGTCCCATTTATCTGGGGAAAAACGTAGCCCAAGGTTCTGGCACTGCCATAGGTTGGTCTGGCTGGTGGCTGGCACTCTTTCCCAGGCAGCGAAGGATCGCTCACGCTTGCTTTAAGAGGATTTCCGGATAGTTCGGCCTGCAAAGTTTAGAAGGATGAGGGTTAATAAACAGTCGCCAACACAAAGCTACTTTACCTGCCCTCAAATATCATCACATTGGATGAGTGCAACTAAAACTGAAGGATACCAGTGCCTGGAATTCGTCCAGTTGGTTATTCATTACTTGATTAAACTGCAAAGTAAATGATTATGAATTACGATGCAGAGACGAGAAAAAAGAAGGCAACAAATGGGGAAACGCGCATTTGCAGTTCAGTTTAATCAAGTAAAAAACTGAAGGCCAGTTTCGAGATTAAACAGGGCATGGATAATGACACCATTTGTCAGTAGGAGGGTATCTGCGAGAAATTTCAATCTGAAGGACGCGAAAAAAATAAGTCCCATGTGACTACACCATTTCCAAGTGTGAATGTTTTGGCCGAATGACACTGACCATTTCTATTTCCACGAGAGATGTTTCATTATATATGCAGCGTCAAACCGCTAGCGAGGAGGAAAATGTTTGCCGGTTCCGTCTGTGCCGCATACACGCGACTAATGCCACCATTTATAAAATTATATGCAGTGTAGATCAATCATTCAGGCTCGCATTTTGTCAACAACTAACATAAGCGGGGCCCACTTAAGGAGAACGAGTTTTAGCTGAGATACTTGGTTCACGTTCACGAGTTCCCCATAGAACCCCATTGGGAAAAAGCCTTTTAGATCATCCTGAAGTTGAATATAAAACGCTATAATGTGGTTGAGGGATCTTCATTATAAATTGATCACCATTCAACACGATTACAAAAGTTTACAGTCCTTATTGCTACGCAAATGTTTGTTTTCTCCTTTTTATTTCTTCCAACTCAAGACAAGCTCGAGTGGCTTTCTCCTCTTGATCTTAAGAGAAGGTGAAACGCTTCTTCCGAAAAATGAGATAGAGGTTGATTTCTGCGTTGTTTGATCCCGTAATTCTGAAGATTTGGTTCGTTTTCTCCGAAGATGTAACTAAACGCGAGAACACGCGAAAAACGTCCGACCAGTCGTTACGTCATAAAAGGATCTTTCGGCCGCCATGCGCGTGTCGCTCGTGAGCAATTGCAGGCTTGCCACTCCCCCGCACTGGCAGCAATCATGACGCCTTTTTTTTTTTTTTCCTTTTTAAAAATAGCAAGACTCGCGTGCATAACTTCGATAGGCACTGAAGATGCGCGAAAGCGGAGATTCCGGAAACAGCGTTTATGATGGCACGCTCCGGGAAGGAGGGGCTTCAGCGGTACTTTGAAAAGAGTTTATCTCCCAGGCGAAAATTTCTAACTGGTACCAGTTGGCACCTCAACTGGTTTCAACTGGGACTAACTGGTCCCAACTGGGAATCAACTGGGACCAATAGGAGTCCCACTCGGGACCAGCTGTGGGGCCAACTGGTTTGAACCATTCCCAGTTGGGAGTCAACTGGTTTGACTCCCAGTTCGGAATGGAGGGAACTGCGACCAGTTAGGAAAGCAAATGGTTGGAGCGATTCCCAGTCGGACTTCAAATGCCTTTCCCGTTCCCAGTTCACACGGGGCAACAATTTTGACAAGTTGGGGGTGTATTGACCTTGGCTAATGAAGAAAACTAAAAACACTTAAATTTTTAGATTTATGCAAATAGGGAAATGTTTAATTACTGGGTACATTTTTATATGTATGAAAATATAAAAATTTTAATTAACTAAATAATGTTTTAATTAGAATATATAATTAGTGACCAAATGTGTTTAACTAAATGAACATTTAGTGTATCATTAAAATATATAAACATTTATTTAAACACCTACAATATTTTTTTCTTTTAATAAATAAATTTATCTTTTGGCCAATCAGAGCTAGCCGGCCGCCGTGGCATGCGGGTGCGGAATAGTGGTACGCGCTGTCGACAGATGGCGCTGCCTATGCTGACGCCGGAGTCGGGCGGACGCGGTAGAGAAGGGTCGCCATCGCCCAAGTTGGCGTCGTTATGGAAATGTCAAAACTACAGCTGCACTTCTTTGGACCTAACTGTACACACACTATGGTGGCGGCGGTGAACTTCGAGGACGGAAAGATGCAGTTTAGCGATCGGAGGGCACGCAGGAAAGACCGGACGAAAGAAAACGCCGCGGAGAGCACAATGGCGAAAATGGCGAGAGGTCTACCTCGAAAATGTTCGGCTGTTGTGACAAAAAGATTGCAAGATGGGAGCGCTACCGCATTTTACCGTATCCTATCAGGACTTCACCTGCGCAACGCGGTATCACGGGTGAGCACCTTTCTTCACGCGATGCCCAGGAGTAAATATGGCAGTTGGGACCAGCTATATTCCCAGCTGCTTCCCAGCTGAGCTGGTTTATGGTGAAATTCCCAACCCAGTTGGAAATGCAGCTGGGCCCAGCTGGTAATTTTGACAAAAACCAGCTCTGCTGGTCCCAGCTGGGACCAGCTGGGACCAACTGCAGGTATTCCCAGCTGGGACCAACTGCAGGTATTCCCAGCTGGGACCAACTGCTGCTGGTCCCAGCCAGGACCAACTGCAGTTGGTCGCAGCTGGAAATGTGGCCAGAAGCCAGTTCAGCTAGTTTTAGCCATTGTTGGCAGCTCATCCGCCACCGTCAGTGACAGCTGCATGGTATGGACACAATGCATGGAAATGTAATTTTATTTCAAGGTTTATAGCCTTGTGGCGCTACAGCTTCTTCTTCAACCTCTCTTCGGAACGCCTTGCGTCTTGGCACTTCTCTCTTAGCAAGTTCCCTATGTCGCAGACTACTGCAGCTGCTGCTGCAGACTGTTTGTTCTGGTCTCCCCAGAAGGAAATTGCAGCTAGAAAGAAATGTGTAATTGTTAGCAGTATATATATGTTTTGAGGACTAACCCTACTCTGGGCAGCCTCATAGGCAAAAAGTAAAATGCCACGACTCGTAAATGAGTCAATCCAACCGAGGACGAGGTGTGCTTTTATGTGCACAAAATTTGTTCTGCCAAAAGCAGGAAATGCGACAGTCAATGCCACCGCCTTAAATAATCAGTGCCTTTGGCGTTTGGCTACAATATTGAACAACGAGATGAAACAGACACACAATATATACCCAAATTGAGATTTCAATTTCCCCACAGAGGATTGGCCTAAACCAGCTCACCCTGAACAACGTCGATCTTCTCAGGTGTTAGAGGAGGCTTTGCTGGCTCTCCGGCTGCTCGCTTCTGGGGACATGTTGTTCCAGTTACGCTCCTCGTAGCAAGTACGGCGTTCGTCCAAATCGCTTGAGCTGTTTCTTTACCAACAATTGTTGGCTTTTCCCCCGAAATATTTTTGCAGCCTGGCCACTGGAAATGACTATCCCCTTGGTCAGGTGAAACTAGAAAGTATAAAATATATTGTGAGCACAACATTTATATTATTACGTACAGTAGTTAAACATTGCTACAATAAAAGAGGAAAAGGAGCACGCTTTCTCCATATTTCTGGCCATCAATTAAAGGGCTATACTAATTTGGGAACGCATACATGTTCTTTCATTCCCTTCATTTGCATGTAGGGACTACCCAAGTGTCACTGTCAGGAAACAGATAAAGTTCTTTTATCTTCATTTTAAATTTGATTCTGTGATTTCACTAAATATATACTTGTCAATCGAATAAACAATTTTGGCATCCAATATTTAAGGAAACAATAAAATTAGCAGCATTGCATTATGCAGAGAACAAAAATAGATATAAAAATATACATTCACTTCTTGTATGTTTTGCACCCATTTTAGCAGAGGTACAAGAACAGTGTCTATACTCTTATTACGCTTGGCATTTAGGAGATAAACAGGGCTTATCCCCACAGCCAGCAATGTGCACATCAAAGATGTGTATGTCATCACAACAAAGGAGCAGGTTTAAGACCTTACTGCTCACTATGTTTGCACATGTAGCAATTACAGTTAAAAATAAGGGCAAGCTCTTACAGTTCCATCAGGAAGGTGTGTGAATGCCGGAGGAACTGAAAAAGAAAAATCATCCATACTAAAAATAAGGCACATCTTTTGGTGAGCAGGCAAAACGTGTTAAAGTGAACTACGATGCGATACTAGGACAGACAAGAGGGACACCAGAATGCAGAGCTGATTTCCGAATACTTTTAATAGCGGGACACTAACATATATGTAGCAAATAGACAAGTTCTATCTATTTGCTATAAAGTCCATACAATTGCTCGCGAAAACTGAAGCCGGTTGTACAAAATCAATTGTATGCCGGACAGCATTTGATATACTTAAGGGATGCTGGACTGAAATTTGCGTCTTCAGAAAACGAGCCAGGAGCGATAGGTGGGACACAACAAACACCATAACATCACTCACACAGCGATATCTCAAACAGATGAGCTATATTTTTTTTATAAGAAGGGCACGGTTGAACGAGGCTGACGAGGCTTTTTATCGCTGCGATTCTTATTCCCTCTCTTCGCTTCGCCATCTTGAGGAAGTGAACCGGAGCGAAGATGAGAGATAACGCGGCTTTTCAGACCATTTCTATACGCAAGGGTGGTTTTTTATCCCACATCAACCAGATACTTCCAACATCTCTGCCGGTGCCTTCATAAAATAGCAATTTCATAGACACATATGTAGTTTTTATGTAGTGGCATACAAGTTATGTTGATCTGTAGTGTCAATTAAGGTCACTTCAAACACGGAATGCTTTCCTAAGGTGCTCTTGGTAATTTATGCACTTACCGGGGGCAGGGCTCTTTGCAGCAACTGCTTCAGGTCCGACAGGACCCGCAGGTCTGGCAGGACCCGCAGGTCTGGCAGGACCCGCAGGTCTGGCAGGACCCGCAGGTCCTGCGCTCACTTGGCAAGCTCCAGGGGGGGGACCTTGTGACAGAACAGTGTCAGTATAAGTTGGTTGCTGCAAAGGGTTCATTTCAGCAGTTGATGCACTTACGCTGTGCAGAACTGTTCTTGGTAGCTGCTGCAGTGCTGAGACAAGCTGCAGGTAGTGCACTCTTCTGGAGGACACCAGCGTCACACCTTGTGGCAGGATATGTCGTGCCTGTGAAAATTAAAGGGTACACATGCACTTCCAACTACTATAAGAGTACCTGCTATAAACAAAAGCAGCTTCAGACATTCAAGAAGCATAAAAGTGCTTACAAGGCAGTGATTCACCTTGATGGGCTGCTCCCCGCATAATGGCATCTGCTGCCGTGTCAGTGCTCGCAGCCACAGCTATTAAAATTGAAAATTCAACAAATGTTCAATACATATGCATCATATATTTACATCGATGCAGCTTTCACAAGAACTCCGATATGACAGTTAAGACTTACCTTCACTGTGCTGCTCCACCAGATCATGCTGAGCATCTGCAAGATCCTCAACTGCAACATTTGATAACATTGAATGAAACTAAATCAGCTGCAGCTTCATTTATTTGCCTCACCATATTTTATACATTTAGTTGCACCATTTACAAGATGAGCTCACATTTGAAAGGTGTATGCCATGAACCAAGCCTGCCATTTATACTGTTTTATTTATGCAGGACTCACAAACTGTGGTGTTTGCAGAATCACTTACCTTCATTTCGCCTGAAATATTCGCACTCGCTGCTTTTTTCAGCTGAAAAATAATACTTAAATGTAGCGCTTATAATTAAAATGATCCACCTTAGCATGTCGTCATAAACAAACCCATGAAGCACAATTTTTTGACACAGACATGTGCTAGTAGTTACTGGCAGAATTTGTGAAATGCACTGTCCTAGTGCTAGACTTTTAGCAGAAATCTGCATAAAAGCATATATGCAGTATAATCAAAAACACACATTCAACAGCTGCTAGCTGAAGAAAGGTAAGACAGTAGTAAATATTCCTGAACGTAGAGACAATTCTGGGAGTTGGCAGAGTAATTTTTCATTTCAACACTTGGAGCATAGCTGCACCTCTAGGATGTTCTTACCTTGAAATATTTTACTTTCTAAGCAGCGCTGCAGTGAGGAAACCTGCTCTTTCAAAAATTTCTTGTCCTCTTCAAGCTGTCTTGCTTTTGTTCTCCAGGCACGAGTCTCTGCTTGTGCTTGGCGCAGCTCTGTCGCTGAGCATAAAGAATCGTCTTCATCTGATGAACTGACTGACTCCTGCCGCAACCTTTTTGGGACCTGAAAAGTAAAACGTTTAACGTCAGCCTTCCCGCATCGTTAAAGACAGAAGAAGTGCTGAGCTATTACTTACTGACTGTGCCCGATGAATTCGGTCAGAAGGCCCTGCCTTGGTGCTTTTGTGGGCGTGATGTAAATGCTTTTCCAATATTTCGCTATACACAGCATTCTTCGAGGTTGTTCGCAGCTGTTTTTGCCTCTGTGACACCTGGCACATAAGAAAGGAACAACAATGTTGGAGGCAGGTATGTGCATAAATTCTTAATCACCTTTATGGCACTTATTTTCAAAAGGTTAACACGAGTTTGTAAAAATTGATTAGTGAGAGTCAGCCCATGCTGCTTCTTGGAATACTTAAATTTTGCATTAATTAGCACTGAGTTCAAAGGAGAATACCAGAGTTCACAGTTAAGTGCTGTATACAAATACATCAAAGTTGCATGCTTACCTTCTTCTGTTGCGTTTTTTTACTTGGAACATCATCGTCGGAGCTTTCCTCTAATCTTGCTTTAGGAAAAGCGATCCTCTTCGACTCCTTTTTTTTCGTGAGCTCTTCCTCGGTTTCTGTGGGTCAAGCAGCGATTCAAAAATGATTTCCTTATAGGTCATGATTAACCGAAGCATGTCTCTTTTTCCAAAAAGCACAGGCTGACTATGCAATCTGAATTCACTAACGGATGCAGTGAGGTTTGAAGCCGATAGTGATGCTATTAGTTAAAAAATTAATTTTTTGTTCATAGCATTAGGACACTAGGCACCTATACATGGCTTGCATGATATATATTATATCCGCGTCCTCCTTGCTGACGGCAGAAACCTGCCGTGAGTGCAGGGGAAGCTGCACTCACTCCTTTCAGCTCGCTCGTAATGTTTGCTTCCTGTTTGTAGAATAAGTACAAATAAAGGCTACGCTCAAGGAAAGTTTTGCCCCTAAAGAGGAGAACCAAATTACGTCAGTGCAACCTATCTGTACTGTGCGCAGATCACATACACACATTCCCTCAACCGTTTTTGATCAGCTAGTCGCAGCTTTCGCAATTATTCATGATACACGCGCCGTCCGACTTTCTTTCGGACGCCGCTTGTAGGCGCCAGTGGCCGTCGGACGGTATTCTAGACACAGCCAAAAACAAATGTAAATATCGCCAAATGCGTCGACAAAAGAAAATGTTCGAGAAAAAAAAAAAAAAAAAAGTAACTCCGCACCGGGGATTGAACCCGGGGCCGCTTGTTTGTGAGGGAGACATTGTACCACTAAGCTACACTACAGCTTCAAAAATGTCGCTTTGCGACCTCGTTTTATAGGAGACTTTCGGACGGCACTTGAACGTGCGAGTGGAGTACCGTCGGACGGCACTTGAACGCTCTGTAGGAGTGCCGTCGGATCGTCCAAGATTTAGATACCATTGGCATTTTTTGGTGAACTCGACGGCGTCAAACTGCGTTTTGACAGGTGTACCTGTGATAAATAATGGTACGTATACGTACCGGCTAGCAGAAGGACGTGGGCACTATAAAACCCCGTGTTTTCTCCGTTGCCTTCAGAGTCTTCGTGAAACACCATGTAGGTCGACTTTTTGTCGAAATCGTCCGTGCTAGTCGGAGAGAAGCCATCGATGCTGCTTGTAGAAACGATATGCAGTCGCTTGTTGTTGTGGTCGTCCACAAATCGAACTAGCGCAAACATTTTGAAGAGCGAATGCACGTGGTCCGAGTAGAAAAAGCAAGCAACCGTCAAAATACTAGCGGACGTGCGAATACCACAGCGCGGTGACCATGGTTGCCGCGTCCGCAACGCGTCTAAAGAATACTATATGCTAGCAATTATTAAATAATATTTTAACTTTTTAAAATAGGAACAAACTATTAGTTGACTCAAACTATGGCACATTGATACTTTAGACCCATGTTGTTGTAAAAGCGTGTTTCTATTTACTTTAGAGGAATAATTTCGCGAGTTCGCTTTGGCTTGGCTTGTCTTGACCAGATTTCTTGACCATCGGCTTTCTACAGCTTTTCTTGTGCCTGGAGCTGTCGTGGGTGATCTGCTTGATCTGCGTTTGAGTTTGCACGTGTATGCTGTGAAAATGCCTCCGCGGAAGCGGTATCTTGAATATGGAGCCGACATAGCAGACCTACCATACACAACGAAAAAAAGGTTGTTTGACGAGCGCGAAACGGACCTGCAAGCGCCTGACGAGACCGATGAGTGCACGCCTGCCGAGAGCGACGACTTATTGCCTGCCGAAAGAGATGGCGGCTCGTCTGCTGAAAGCGACGACCACTCTGTGCCTGCCGAAAGCGACGACCACTCTGTGCCTGCCGAAAGCGACGACGACTCTGCACCCGCCGAAAGCGATGACTCGCTTGCGTCAAGTCCTAGTGCTACCCGCGCCACACCACCGCCGCCAACACCACAACCCGGCGGCTCTCCAGGAACTCGGCAAGAACCGCAAGAGGAGGCCGAGCTAACCGCCAATGACCTGTTAGCGCTATCCGTGGGCTTCATCATAGAGTTCGGACTCCCGTGGAAGGCGGTCGAAACTCTACAGAAGATGATGTCCTACGTTCTGAAAAGATGCGACGTGCCGACAACCAAGTACTTGTTTAAAAAGAACTCCGGTATCACTGTTGAGACTGCCAAGTTTCATTTTTACTGCAACGACTGCAAAAGACTAGTCGCCTCCACATCGGGTCGCCTTGCTGACCGCAACGCAGTTCAGGCCCCCTGCCCCAACTGCGGCAAACTCTGTGATGGTCGGCAGATGTTGATTGACGGCCACTTTTTTTTGAGCATGCCGATCCGGAAACAGATAACAGAGTTGCTTTCGAGAGAAGAAATTTCTAGTGCTCTAACTAAGCGCCTGCAAGAAATAGATGCTCACCACGACAATGGCAGTGATGGGATGTCGGATATTTCCGACGGTGACGCATACAAAGCCGTCCGGGAAAAGATGGATTTGCACGATTTAACGCTGACCATCAATTCCGACGGAAGTCCGCTTTTCAATTCCTCCAAATACTCGATATGGCCGGTGCAAGTGATGATCAAGGAACTTCCGCCACACCTCCGGCACAAGAATGTCCTCGTCACCATGCTGTGGTATGGACAGACCCATCCCGACATGCCACTACTGCTGACGGCCTTCGTTGATCAAATGGAAGACTTATCTTGTGAGGGAATTACCTGGGAGGCAGGCACAAGAACTGTTTGTTCAAAGGTATGTGCATATAGTATACAGGGCTTGCATGTGATATCAAAGCCGTCGTCCTTGCTGGTGGTAGAAGCCTGCCATTAATGCATTGGAAGCTGCGCTCGCTCGTTTTTGCTTGCTCGCAATGCTCGTTTCCCCGTTTCTACAATTAGTACAGTAAAGGGTGCGCTCTACCACCAGAAAGGACCAAAGTATGTCAGTGTAAGCTATGTGTATAAGGGCCTTTGTACCAAGCGTATTTCTTCTCTGTTCATGTGTTTCGCACTGTTTATATATTAGGATCAACGAATACCAACTCAACTTTCGACGTTACTTTGTACCAAGCTTTGTTGGCCGGCTTTTACTCACGGCAAGAATTCACATACTTTTTGGTCTCTTGA